AGCCGAGTTGCGTAGCTCTCCATTCGTCAGTTGTATTCAGTACGGCAGTAGATGACTGATGGCGTGCAGGCTAGACACTCTATCATCCAACGAGTTATGAGCTTACGTGCAGTTGAATGGTTCACCATCGGTACTCGCAAGCATCTTGTTAGGATTGGACTTTGCAGTCTTCTTAGAGATGGCTCCTCTTCAGATGTAGGCAGTAAGATTGCTTGAAGTTCTTACTCCTACTAGCATCTATAGTATAGATGCTGATTTCCGGCGTCCTGCGAAGTGAGCCATAGATTAGTTTCCGGCGTGAACTTCACATGAGCGCGTGAGCAGTGCTAAATACCCGTGTAACGAGGTTAGAGCAGACAATTGGAATGTGTTGTGACTCAGCTTTCGTTCTTGTCGAACTCTCCCATGTTGAAAGTGATCTTCTTCACCATCCTCCTGGTCATCGGTGTCATGGTCCATGGTCGTGATGAAGTTCCTCCACCCCCACCGGAGACCCCATGTCCTTCGAAGGATTGTCCGATGGGAAATCTATGCTTCCCCGAGAAAGGTGAATGTTTGATGATTCCTACTGTGAAATGTAAGTGTGACCCGACTAGTCCTAACCAATAATATTGGCTTATCTTATTAAGATGGTCACATTTTTCTGTCGATCCCATCCAATTTTGCCTCTTCGCCGCGGTTTGATCCGTTCTCAGACCATGGTGCTATGGTGCCTCTTTCCCTATTTTTCACTTATCATTGCTGAATGATAGTGCTCAGATGCTCCTCAGTGAGGGACAGTCTCAACAGTAATCACAGCCCTCTCAGCTCAGTTCATCGGTTGCAAATCTATACATTACTAGTCGCGGTCTCTCGCCGATGGAGCCTATTCTGTGCTTTATCTGTCGAGCAAGTCATCCTCTATGTTCAGTAACGCTGAGGTTACATACCTTTCGTTGGAAAGGTTTTCACTTCTCTAACTTCTGCGTTGTCAATATGCTACAGTCGTCTGATAGAGTCTATCAGATAGACGACGTGGGAATAGTCGGAGACCCCAGAAAAGTGCTTAGCAGAAGTATGCTCTGACGAAACTGTGCTCATAAAAGCGGTAAACTAGTGAACTGCTCGGTTCCGTTGAACAGAACCGAGGCCGGAGGACTGAGGTAGATCGGTTGAGAGCTCTGCGATCCACCAGACTTGTCGAGATGCTTGAGAAAGCTTGGATCCTGAGCGAACCGTTCCATGCTACGGGGGTGGCTCACGAAGATGAGTCTCAGACGATCGTCTTCAAATATGGCGTTAACCAGATTGCTATCTTTGATCACAGTCTCCAAGAACACGTCGTTGTTCAGGATGTTGGAATCGCTACGTAAATGACATAAGATAGATTGATGAAGTCGATGTTCAGAATCTTCTTGGTGTACCGGTATCGTAGTGGTAGTCCTCGACATCTTGGAGATTTGACAGTTCCCTGTTGGAGTGGAGATCCCCTACGAAGATTGGCTCTGGAGCTACTCGTTCGGTCTTCACAGTAGGCTTCTCGAACTGTATCACCATGAGATCGAAAACCGCTCGATGCCATCG